TTCGTGCAGTATTTCGCTGTATTGTACATTCTACAGTAATTTGAAAGTTTTTTCAGCATTTGATTTTGTTCAGCAAACCTGCTAACATACAGAGATTCGGAAATTATTTAGGTTACCTGAAAAATTGCCTGATTTCTACCAAAAATTGTTGGTCCATGTTTGTGTAATACTGTAATAAATGAGAAAATTATTTTTTGTTGGAAAGATTTTTTAGCGGAAAAATATTGATATTTTTGACTAAATATTGTTATCGAATACCGTTGATAGGCCTCAAAAAATTCTCGCCTTCGGCGGTTATCCTTCGGAGGGCTTGCCGGCGACTACCCGTCCCTGACGTTATATACTTGTTGTGAACTTCAGCCATAATAACTCATCCTTGACCCCTAGGGTTTTATTCAATTTGTTTTTTTAATTTTTTTTTTCTTTCTCTTTTAAAAAAATCAAATTAAGAAAAAAACCCGTGGGATCAAGGATGTTTTTATGGCTGAAGAGTTAGCAAATGGCCGCCTCTTTCGGGCAGTTAATTTGGCAAACGATGCACTAAACACCCTGTATAAAAACTAAGTCAAATACAGCCCATGGGAAGTACTCTTGCCGCCAAAGGCATACTACCTTCCCAGGCGTTTTTTATAATACAGATGGCGAGAATTACAACCCCTAGGCTAATTTTAGGTTTATGATTGTACAAACGTTTCGTAATATTTTAGCATCTAAATAAAATATGTTGTTAGGATAAGTTAATTTTAGGAAATTGTAAAATATCCTTCTTCAGGGAGGTCCAAACTTGCCTTCCTTGGTGAAGGATAGTTGAAGACAAGGTATTCAGATTTCGAGCTTCACTCTGAACAGTCGAGTTGCCTCTCAACATTCTTGATTAAGTGTCCCTCCTCAACGAGAATTTTAATAAATGAAACATTTTTATATAATACCGAGTTTTAATTATCGAAGTACGAGATTGGAGCGCGCGGAAAACTCCTGAAGGGGTTCACACCCAAAGTAGGACCCAGTAGGCGATGCCCACTGTAGTTGCGGCCGGAAGCAGAAATTTTTTCGGGTGCCACGCTCAAAACGTATTTTAAGCCTCCAAAAAAATAAATTGTGTGTTTTTTTAAAAATTAACATTTTCTTGGGCCTCTCTGGGGGGGGGGGTGATTTCACTCATTACCCCCCTCCCCCCCTCGTGGATCCGCCACTACCACGTTACATAAAAAGGGCCTCGCAATTCGGATGTCGCCGACGGCCTCGTTTGGTTTGGCTACGCCACTGGAATTCCCCATATCTATCTGGTAAGGGATGCCCTGAAAACACCTACAGAACACAGATCAAGTGCATGACAAAGGAAACGTAGAAGGCACCAAACTGCTGCAGTTTATCAAAACGCATACCTAGCGGTTTAGGAATGCCTACGGACGTGATGCCAAGAACACACACAACATGCGCCCTATCCTACACAGTGGTTTCCCCAAGAAGGAAAGAGTGGGCGCAGAATGAGCATGCCCTACTAAAAGCAGATCTATGTTTGTTCACGGATAGATCGAAGAGAGACAGTGGGGTGGGAGCTGGCGTTTATGGTGCAGAACCGAAAACTAGATTTGCCTTCCAGTCTAGGAAACAATGCAACCATCTTCAAACCGGAAGTGCATGCCATTGAAATGGCTGTGAGGAGGCTGCAGGTTCGACCCCAAACTCACAAAACCATAAAAATTTGTTCTGACAGCGAAGCCGCACTGAAGGCGCTTAGCTCCACCTACTGTAATTCAAGAACAGTCTGGAGCTATCAGGAAGCTTTACGCCAATTAGGGAAGGAAACAAGGTAACCCTAATGTGAATACAGGAACACGTTGGCCTTGAGGGCAACGGAATGGCGGTTCTCCAGAGGAGGAGCCGAAACCAAGTTCACACGGCCAGAGCTAGTGCTAGGCGTTGCTCATAACATGACAAATCAAGCATCGAAACGTTCGCTAAAACTGCTAGGGATCACATAAGCAATTGCAAAGTTTAGCAACGGCAATCATAAGACAACCGGTGAAACAACACTCTGTTGGAAGGATGCTGGAGCTTGACAGAACTATAACATGAAAACCCTAATCAGCTTATACACTGGACACTGTATCTACAGGGTTGAACTGGCAAATGATGAGTGCAGGCTATGCAACGAGGACGAGGAGACAGCTACACACATTCTTTGCGAATGTCCGGTAGGTGGCAAACTGAGGTATCGTATCTTAGGTGAGGCAACGGTCCCACTGAGAGACCTGAACAACATCTCTCCACTCCAGTTCTTCTTCGGATTCCGTCATTTCTTATTTTGTCTCTTAAAGTTATTCCAAGCATCAATCTTTCCATCTTGCGATGTCTGACACGTAGCTTTCTGGTTGATGTTTTTGTGAGCGTTGAGCGTTAAGGTCTCTGTCCATAGGCCAGAACTGGCGAAAATCACGTATTGAAGGTTTACTTCTTTATTAAGTATATCGGCATTATCATTATCTTTGAATATGTGTCTAAAGCTTCCCAGCCCAAAGTGATACTTCTAAAAAGTTGACACGTTTGTCTTTGCCAATTCTAATTTCATGTCCCAAATAACATTATTTTTCTACAAATTCTATTTCTGATCCGTGAATTTGTATGTTTTCCCTGGAGACTAGATTTGTCATCGCCTTAGTTTTGCGATAATTAATAACCCACCATCTGCATTGCATTTTGAAGTTCTTGTAACATTTCTTTTCCTTGTTTTAAATCGCATGTGATTAGTACTATGTCATCCGCGAAATCGATAATTATTTAGTTTTTCTCCGTCTACTGTTATGCTATACAGTTTTTTGTCTTATTCTAGTGTTGAAAAAGCATTTTCAAAAATGGTTGTAAGTTGTAAATAATTTTGGTAAAATAGTGTTGCATTGCCCTGCTCTTCGTTGGCCGTGATAAGATTTTTGCTTGTGTACATTTCTTTGTGAAAGTCTTTTATGATCTTCATTATTTGTTCTCTATTTGATGTTATGTTCCCTTCCTTGTGCCTTAGTTGGAAACTTAATTTTTTACCGTTTGTTAGTTATTTTCTCAATCTCAATACTTTCAGGCTTTTTATTATTATTATTATTATTATTATTATTATATTATTATTAATATTATTATTATTATGGGTATCTGCAGTAGACGGAATAAATCCGATGAAGCTGCTGAATCTATTTGAGTTGTTTAAAGATTAGAGATTTGTGGGAAGTCATGCATTGCCAAAAGAGCCTCTGCGGTCTTAATAGTCCTTCTGAAATTTAGTTGCATCATACGGTATAGTGCACAAAGAACGTTGTGCTTTATTGGTTCATCATTTCTTGGTCTAAACGGTTTTTGAACTGGTTCCTTGTTGTTGACGTGACAGTGTTGTTACCAAGACTGTTCCAGAGACCAGAGATAAACCACCCTGTTTGTTAGAATGTTTCTTCTCATAAGCTTGTTACATTTCTCCTTGGAAAGCTTTAGATTGTGTCCTCTGAGATTGGTGTTTTGGTTGAGGTGGTAGATCTCTCTTAAGTCGCATGCATAGTGCCCATTTATTATTTTAAAAGTTTCAATGAGATCTCTCCTCATTCTTCTATCTTTTAGGGTGGTTAGGTCTAGCTAGGTTAATCGTTCCTCATAGGGCAGTTCATGAAGGTCTGGAGGTAGCTTCTGTCGTTGTACTTTCTCAATTTGCTCCATGTTTTTAGCATAGTAAGGATTCCAAATAGTTTGTGCATATTCTACTCTTGGCCTGACATATGATTTATGTAGCTTTAGTATTATTTATCTTTGGAGAGGTCTTTAAATCATTTTTGTATGAGGTAAATCATTGAATAGGCTTTTTTGGTCATTTGCGTGATGTAAGTTTCCCATTTCAAGTCCTGGGTTACAGTGATTCCTAGATCTCTCTGTTGTATGACAGGTGTTATTTGAAACTGTCAATTTAGGGTTGTTTTGGCCAATATGTAGGACTGTGCATTTGGAATCATGCAAGGGCATTTTCCATAGCTGTGTCCATTCTCTGATATTGTTTAAGGTCTCTCTGAATAGCAGAATGTTGCGAAAGTAGATTTCCATAAATGTTTCCATCGTCGGCAAAATATGCATTTCTTATATGTATATATGTTTCCAGCCCTAGATATAGATCACTTAAATAGGCAACAAAGAGTAGAGGACCGAGAACTGATCCCTGTGGTACTCCACTATGCACTCTGTGCTCTTTTGAAAGTGTTGGACCCACACTCACCTGGAAAGTTCTTCCTGTAAGGAATCCTTCGATTAACTGGAGTAAATTGACCCTAACTCCGATGTAGAACTGTGTTGGTATTTTGTCAAATGCTTTTTGGAAGTAGTCAGTGTCCAATGGTTGAGTCTTGTTAGGGGATTTGTAATTGTCGATTTCCCGGGAAGAAAGCCGTGTTTTGTATTATTGTTTGTTTGTACTACTTTTGTCGTATCTGATGTATGTCTTCCACTAGCGCAAAATTGAAACTTCTATAACACATAAACTTTAAATTCTGGCCATTCTTTTCTTTTGCTGGTCGTTAAAATGAAGGAATCTTCACGCAAGGTGGCAGTCAAAAATGTCCCCAATAAAAATCTTACGCCAGCATAAATTTGAAACTTATTGTCCGCAAAAATCTCAATACAGTTGAATTCGAAATTTATCGATTTCTTCATTGATTCGGCCCGGTCCATTGATTCATATCGGAGCGACACGAAAACAATATTTTAGCAAATAAATTCACGGGCGGCGCGACGGGTCGCTCAGGGCGGTGCAAGATTTGGGTTACACGTTGCCGAGATAGTAATATCGGAAGAGCGGACTTGTTGTAATTTGTGGTCGCCCCCGGGTCACAACCGCACCAAAAATAAATAAGCGAGCGCATTTTTTTTCTGCACTTGCTGTTACCGAACACGCACGTCCTTATTGTTTAGCTTTAAGGCAAAATGTTTCAAAAAAAAAAATTGTCTTCTCTCATTAATTTTTGGGATTGTTTCAGACCGGTTACATACGATCTTCGTTGGACAACTACTACATCGAGCCTGCTGAAAATTTTACCAGCGGCTCACTGGGTACCATCTTACATCGGATCAAAAAACTACCACATTCCGCCGAAGAAAGCAACGATGTACTAAGTTTTGATGGACCTTTTGAAGTGCCGTTCTTCAGGAATGAAAACGGTAAGTGAATATTAAACATGTTTATTTTTATTAAAAAAAAAAATATTAAAACATACCAGTAAACTTAAAAATAGTTTTCCGAGTTATTGCTATGGGAAGGGCTGCGAAAGGGTCACTAGATGTATATACCTACAAAATTTTCGATGCCAACAATGATAAAAATTAACAACGATTAGTGAATATGGAAAATAACTATGTCATAGAAGTACAGAGCAGATGTGAAAACCTATTGTCAACTACTTAAGTAAATACCACTCTGTACATCAAGTATATTATAGTGTGTCGACGAGTCAGCATTAATTTAGTATAAATACCGCGCCAAAATCCATTACCAGCAGACTAAGGCTGGTGCAAAGTACCTCAATTGGGAAAAGCCCCTCTAGCTAAATCTCCTCCAGGTGCAAATTACCTACCTTTATTGCTTCAGTCTGCAGCCACGCCAAGTGTACATAATGCAGAGTGGCCTAAGTAGTACGCCCCTCCGTAGAAGTGACATCATGGTATTATGCCTAGGTAATATTATTCTATATATCATTATTCAATATTCAATATTCAAATCTTACTGTACCTATACCAACCGCGTTTCTCTCTACCTGAACCCCATCTTCGCCCCCAGGTCACGCTCCTGTTGTGACGTCCCAGGACGAAACGTATAGGGGTTGTGACATATTTGGTGGAGGCGCCGGGCTTGGGAATAATTGCTATCTCGTCATATTTTATTTTATTTTTGATGTCTCTCTTACAAGCATTGGAGGCCAATGCTTTTCAGAGGGGGCTATGTCAACTAGTTAAGTAAATACCACTCTGTACATCAAGTTTATTAAAGTGTGTCGACGAATCAACATTAATTTGGTATAAATACCGCGCCAAAATCCATTACCGGCAGACTAAGGCTAGTGCAAAGTACCTCAATTGGGAAAAGCCCCTCTAGCTAAGTATCCTCCAAGTGCAAACTACCTTTATTGGGAAACGCCCTTCTGGACCTGTCTCAAACCCAGCTTCAGTCTTTAGTCACGCCAAATGTACAGAGTGTACATAATACAGAGTGACCTAAGTAGTACGTCCCTCCGTAGAAGAGACGTCATGGTATTATTCCTAGGGAAATATTATTCAATATATTCAATACATATCTTAGGTATTGTACCTATACCCTATACCAAGCGAGTTTCTCCCTACCTAAACCCCACCTGCGCCCCCAGATCACGCTCCTGTTGTGACGTCTCAGGACGAAACGTATAGGGGTTGTGACACTATGTGTTGTGAACTCTCAATTATCATTGTTCATTATATTGTTTATAATGCGAAGAAGGCATTATAAAGGAATTGATATAGTAACTCTCCATTACTTCCTAATAATTTCCAAGCAATTATTCCTAGTACATAATTAGGTAGTTTCGAGTATATACTTCCCCGTAATTCTTCTAGCCCTTACTCCAGAAGGAATTATTGAGCATACCCTCGATGAGGCCCTGCTCCCTCACTGCAATATGTAGAAGAAGCCAGGTTCCATACATGCGGTAGGATAGTTGGTCTTGATACAATGTCTCATCGGTCTTTCAATAATTGACATTTGGCCAACACACTAAGTATAGTGTATACGACAAGGGTTATTTCAACCATTGTATACCCAGGTTTTGCTGAATAATTTCCGGCATGTACCTATTATTCTGTTTTTGTGAAAATTGCAAATGAGTTTTTGTTCTGAGATGAAACTTGGGTCTCACTTGCATTTAGGGTTCAGCCTCATTTTGGTAAATGGGAGAAGTAACCTGGCTGATTAGTAAGTTGGGAACTTCTTCCATAGCAGTGGGCATCTTTTTCTACAGTTTCTACGGATTCGTATATTTTCTATTAAAAGTGTACCTTGTCGATCTCATTACCAACATTATGGAAATCTGCAGATTTACCAATTTGGTAGGTGTAGTGGATTTGTATCGTTACTCCCCAAATGTAGCTTCAAGATTTTCTCTATGATTTAAAGGGAAATCGATATTTCTAGATCTATATAGAATCTATATAGCAATACTGTGGGTTGTTTCCAAGTCAGACCAATGTCTTGCAAATTCCGAAAACTTTGAACACAACCAGAGGAGTACTGTCCTTACATTAACATTTAAATTTCTGAAGGACGATATTAGAATCTGTAAGTGGAAATTTAAGGTCCATTGGAAAAAACGCTGCCCAAATTCGATTGAACTCTAGCCTATAAATTTAACACGGTAAGTGAATTTAAAAATGTATGTACCAAGATTATGTACACAAACCAAGCCTGCTCATTATAACTCCCATCCGTCTTCTCAATAAGCTATAATCAATAATGATGCGCCAAGTTTAATATTGCGTACTCAGGCTAGGCTAGACGCCAAAAAAAAAAGTAAATCTTGTTTATGATGGTTCTTTAATAGTCCAGGGATGAGCTGCTCTACAATTTCAGCTCGTAAATTGTAGTGTCTAGAAATATGACTCTATTATAATAGGTTAATGTCGTTATGCCACAATAGAGTTCTGGAATTTCAATGGGAATTTAGGTTTGTTTCGTATTTTAGGCTTAGATTTTAATGTCAACATTTATTTATAATAAAATGTATGTCATATTAACAAATTATGGAAGAAATTGTGGAAATATAAATAGGTTTTATAAGTCTATGAAGTTTAGCAACAACAAGGAAATTTGGACTATGAAAAGGAACTTGACTATCTTTCTTAACTTCAGACTGAAAATTATCGGAAAAAGGTAATTTGCGCTAGTCAGAAAACGTGGTTGGTCAGATTGCTTAATTACAGACCACGAATGGGTTCCAGCAGAATTCATCAAATATTCTCACATCAGAATTAATTCATGTTTGCTGAAAACCTTTATTCATTGATTAGCTACACACTACAGATTAAGTTTACTGGAAATTATGAATTTGCGCACGACTGCATTGCAAGATTCGTCAGAAATTACAAAGTTCATAATGAATCCATTAAATGAATATAAAGTCTGGGTAGTGCGAGACAATTTGAAGAAATACAAAAGAATATGAAGACAGAAAGTGGGTATAGATTATAGAACCCTTCCTACGCCTACGGTATTCAATTTTTTTTTTTTAATTTCAAATGAAATAAGGAACTAGAAAAAGTAGGCACTTCAACACTTGATAAAGAATCTGGCCATTAAGAAGTCATTAAAACGTAGATTGCATAATCTTATATACCTATTAATTTAATAGAATTAATTGGAAACGATGTTTAAATAAAAATATCTCTAAGCCTGATACGCTGCATTATAATAAATCTGACGGAAATCCACGTAGTACCGAGATAGTACCCTCAAGATAACATCATCAAGCGTAGCAAACAAACATACACATACAGATCTTAAATAAGATCTTCGTCAAGGTAAATTATTATCTAATTATACGCGAGCGGTATAAAAGGATGTATAATCAATGGGCTATTATGTTGGCAATATAAGCAGTACCATCGCGTATCCGTATGAGAGCTCGATCTTTTCGCAGCGGTCGTACACTGCGGCTTGCTCGGCTCTAATCGTATTAAGTGCGTGGTTTGGCCCGTCTCCGTCGTAATCGCGAAGTACCTTGACTTGGTGGAATAGACTAGACTGCGCGGCGGCACCTTTTAATTTCAAGTACTGGCTGGGCGGAGGAAATTTGTACCAACGGTTTGGAAAAACAGTCGAAACTTAAGTGAAGAGCAAATGGAAAATTTATTGAGCTGACAATTTATACAAACTGTAATAATAATAAGCAAAAAAGAAAATTATTCATACAGTCTTCTTAGCATATGTATCTATGTCATATGATTATAAGGAGCATGTGTGAAGTGAGTTTATTAGAAGAAAATGCATTAGTTACTAGATTGTAGATTGTAAATTGTGATAGTTGGATGGCTTCCCAGATTAACGCTTTTGGCAAAGCCGATAATAATGTTCCTGGGATTGGCTTTTTTCACATCCGCAGTATTTAAATATGGCTGCTCCAGTCTTCTGCGGCACAATGCCTCGCAGTTGCAAAGTATGTGTTCCGCAGACTCAGAGGCTTTTTTACAGAAGCGTCATAGGTCTGATCTTTTTCAGGTGATAACCCAGAGGGCAGTGACCCGTAAGGAGGCCTGTTAGCAGCCTTAGATCCGCTTTACTATAAAGTCAATCATTTCCTTTACCTTTATTGACTGGGGCGAAATGAGTTTTTTCGCCTGTCAAGTCCTGGAAACTGTTCTCGCGGGAGATTTGTTGAGCCTTTATCCAATTCTGCACTTTCCCTATTATATAACTCTTCGTCATTTAAGGTTGGGGTTGTTAGATTCAGCCTCCTTTACTTTGTGAAAGACACGCCTAAACCCTCCTGTGGACACCATCTAATAATGACATGTATAAGACATTTTGCATGAGGTTACTAATGATCCTGTCATGCTTACCCCTAATGATGACTATGAGGTCATCAGCATATCCTCGGACCGTCATCCCTTGCTTTAATTTTTTCATTATTAAGCATGGCTTCAATCCATGCAATGGTAGTTTCGTCAAAGCCCTTATTTCTAGCCGCTCTGCTTATGGATTCATGTGATGTGTTATCGAAAGCTCCCTCTACATCAATGAATAAGCATAGAGCGATTTATTGGCTTTCAATCCTAGTGACGAGATTGTTTGGGGCTGTCTCAGTTAATTTAACTGGTTGATAGGCAAATTGATTCTTTTGTAGCGGATTTTCTATTCGAAGTTCACTCCTTATATGCAGTTCAATGATTTTCTCCATAGTTTTTAGGAGAAATGAGGTTAGGCTAATTGGTCTGAATAATTTAGGCTGTACTGTAGGACGCCTATCAGCCTTTGAAATAGGAACTTACATTCACATCCCGCCAACTGGTGGGAATGTAGCCTAATTATGGAAGCTAGCTTTGAACATGTTTGCTAGGTGTTGTGCCCAGACCCTGTTGTAAGAGGGCTGGAAAGATCCCATCTCCACCCTGGTGATTTGTGTTGTAGAAGCAGTTTTATA